TATTGTGTTATTAGATGATCCATTGTCTGCAGTCGACGCACATGTTGGAAAATATTTATTTACAAATTGTATTCAAAGTGCATTTGCCAAAAAAACACGTATACTTGCCACACATCATTTACATTATCTACCACAAGTTGATTACATAATATATATGAAAGATGGTGAAATCGCCGAACAAGGAACTTACGAAGAATTAATGAAAAGTGGAAAAAATTGTTCTAAGTTTATTGCTGAATATGGTAAAGCTGAAAATGATAGTGAAATAAAAGAAGACAAAGAGCAAACTTTAGACGATGATAAAGAAAGTAAAAAAGATCAGACAGTTATATTGTATAATGAATTAATGTCAACAGAAGAACAGCATAGAGGAGCAGTGAATAATGAAATATATTTAGCATATATTAGGAATGTGGGTGGATTGTTATTGGTGCTAGTCATTATTTTTTTACTTACTATGACGATAGGAACAGATATTGGGTATGATTACCTTAATAACATTTTGAATTACATACATAATCTTATATATAATTGAGGAAATTGCTAAGCTTACAAATCTGTCTTTACTTTTTTATAGAAATAATTTATGGCTTTCGTTCTGGTCCAGCGACACGTTTGACATTTCAGTAGGATATTATGTATGTATCTTTAAAATTCATGAAGTCTAAAATTACAGTATAACCAGACACAACTAATTTATTTATATTATTTAAACACTAATTTGCATTAATAGATGGGTGTTTATTGTTCATGGGGAGTCGCTCAAGGGATTTTGGCTGTTTTAAGTTGTGTTGCATTTTCTTACGGCGGTGTCAATGCATCTAAGAGACTACATAATAATGCAATTAAACGTGTATTAAGGACGCCAACACGTTTTTTTGATACAACTCCTTTAGGAAGAATTATTAATCGGTGATTGTCATACTGTATCAACTTATCATTTAATATTTTTATTTTTTAGATATAATACTTTCTAATCCAAATTCATTTAATATCCAGATTCAGCAATGATATCGACACATGCGACAATTTACTTTCTGAATCATTTCGAATGTTTCTCACATATTTATCAAACATTATTGGAATTCTTATTCTGACTGCAGTGGTGTTTGTGTGGTTTATTATCCCTTCGGTTCTTTTGATCATACTTTATTATTTAACGGCTCTTTATTATCGGGCATCTAGTCGTGAATTAAAGCGTAATTATTATCATCATTGCTTAATAATAAATTACTATATATATATATATTCTTTTTTAAAGAAATTTTTTTATTATAGGCATTCATTCAGTATTAAGATCTTCACTATATGCACATTTTTCTGAGACACTTACTGGACTGCCGATCATTCGCGCTTGTCATGAACAAGAAAGATTTTTGAGGTTTTTAAAATTTAAAATTTTATTATCTTTAATTTTTCTTAATATAATTATCTTTTCACCTGAAAATATGCTTAAAAATAAAATAGAGATAACGAAGCATTTTTAAATATCGAAAATAGAGCATACTTTCTCATTATATGTGCCCAAATATGGCTTGGGTTGCGTCTTGAAGCTATCGCAGATATCACAGTGTTTTTTGCAAGTTTATTTGCAGTAATTTTTAGATTTAATGTTTCACCTTCAATTACTGGATTAGTATTATCGTATGCACTTCGACTTACATTAATATTTAATTTGTGTGTTAAATATTTTACTGAAGTGGTAAGTAAATAATATTTTAACAATATATTTTAAATTAATAATTTAATATCGCATAATAATAGGAAACCAATATGAATTCAGTGGAACGTTTAGTTTATTACAATGATAAATTGGAAATAGAAGCTGAGAGTATAATACCAGATAACAGACCACCACCTGGATGGCCATCTCGTGGAGAGATTCATATTAAAAATTTGGAAATTAAATATGGGCTTGATAGTCTTCTAATTTTGAAAGGCATCTCACTTGATATTATGGCTGCTGAAAAGATTGGAATTGTTGGTCGAACTGGTAAATTTTAGATTCAGTTTGAGAAGTATCAATATTCATATATTAACTTCACTTAAATAATAGGATGTGGAAAATCAACGTTAGCAATGTCATTCTTCAGATTTATTGAAGCAACTTCTGGAAGTATTGTAATTGACGATGTTGACATCAGTACTATTGGATTAAAAGATCTTAGAAGTAATATTACTATCATACCTCAAGATCCGGTACTATTTAATGGCACTATTAGGTAAGTAAAAATCTTTATTATACATAAATTTTTATTAAATCTCATCTATAAACTGATTACCGAATTCTTTTTAAAATAAATAGGAGCAACTTGGATCCATTCAACGAGCATAGTGATCTCAAGTTGTGGAACACGCTTAGGCGTGTACAATTAATTAAAAATTCAAACCCTACTTCTGAAAAAATAGAACTAGAAGAATCAGATGTTATCCATTCTATTTCAGATCAAGAAGCATTAACGCTTGACTCACCTGTCAAAGAAAATGGATCAAATTTTTCCCAAGGTCAACAACAACTGATTGCAATGGCCAGAGCACTAGTTCGTGATTCAAAACTAATAATAATGGACGAAGCTACTGCAAGTATAGATTTCAAAACTGATCATCTAATACAGGCCACAATTAGAGAAGAGTTTAAAAATAGTACTGTTATCACTATTGCGCATAGATTGCGTACTGTTATGGATTATGATAAAATTCTGGTTATGGGTATGTATTTTTTTAAAGAAAATTTTTAATAATTTTAAATATTAATTATTTTCAAAAAAAAAATTAGATGATGGAAATGTAGTGGAATTTGATATTCCATACTTATTGATGCAGAAGCCTGATGGGTGGTTTAGGGGAATGTGTAAAAAAAGTGGGGAATTTGCAGAATTAATGAAAATTGCTAAGCAAAAATATGAAAAGATATCATTGTCATGTTAATGTGTTTATTAATGTGTGGGTCAAACTCTCAACAAAATTCTGACAAGTCATAATCTCGACAATCCCCAACAGTCAAAAATCTTGACAATTAAAAATTCTGTCAATCAGAATTTTCAGCTAGAAATACCAGATATGAGGTAAATTTAAAGCAAAATAGATTTTATAATTTAATTAACTTTAGGGGTTAGATCACTTAAGTTAATGGTTAGGCTAGTGTTAACTATAGTTTTGACATTTTTTATCAGAATTTTTAATTGTCAGGATTTTAACTGTGGCTGTCAGGACTTTTAGCCTTTGGGATTTTTTTTTTTGTCAGGATTATGACCTGTCGAGATTTTCACCTATGCCCATATTGTATTTAAATAAAATACTTGATGTTTCAAAAAATCTTTTACTTTAAACTATGCTTATCTCTTTAATTATAATAACTAGAATTACTTTGTCTGAGAAATAAGCTGCTGAAAAAAAAACGTCTACTAAATAAGCTATAGTAAAGTAAACTTGTAAATTAATTGTTTGTAAAATAAGTATATTGGCGTATTGATTTTTGGTAATGTGTTGTATCTATAAAGAATATTTAAAGTATATCTAAAACTATATTATTGTGATTTAATACAAAATAGTAAATATATTGGTGAATTAGCAAATAAGGGCCTGGAAAGTGAAAATAATTAATATGGGCCCAAATTGAAAATATATATATAAGGGCTTAATTTTTAAAAAATATTACTTATAATGGCCTAAATCTATTGGATATGTATCATTTCACCGATGCTTATTTCATAAACATAAAATTTCACCGACAAAAATTTACCGACATATTTATTTTACCAAAAATTATTCCGCAGACAAATTTATTTCACCAACAGTTCATTTCAGCAAAGCTCATTTCATTAGACAAATTTTATTTTATAAATTTTACTAACTTAACTCTTACTCTAACCTGACCCTAACGACAATGACCAGGATTATTTTGTCAGTGAAATAAGTTTCAATGAAATAAACTGTCGGTGAGATGGAAAATAAATGTCAGTGAAGTGAGCTGAACCGAATCTATTGATGGCTGAAAAATGTGATCACGGCCACAAAATACTATGGTCAATTGACTTATAATGATTGCAAAATCGCGATTATAGAATTATTGATTGTTTATTATATACTGATTATTAGATAAAGAAATGTATGAAGTGCTACTTATAATCATTTCGCTTAAATGTTGCATAAAAAATAGCATTAAAATAGCACAATTATTTATAAGGTGAAGAAGTTCCAAAAGTCATATGATTATATGACCAAGGTCATATAGAAAAAAAATGGTATGACATAGTAATAGACACTGGTCATGACCGGTCAATAACCATAATAATAACCGATATTTGACCGGTCAAAGGTTAACCGACCGGTCAAAATTATGACTGATACCGATGCCAGATTTTGAACCCGTCCATAAATTTGATATGCTTGATTGATAGATATTGTGATATTATCATTGATCTGGAAGGTTGCATTGACTCTTGTATAATTATAAAGATCGTTGAGCCTACGTTCCTGGTTTTAGTGCGACAGCGTCGCACAGCTACTGTTAGATCTAAAAATTGTCACTCACGACTGCTTCTAATTTCACGTGATTAATGATATACGAAATACGTGACAATGTAATACATGCGCCAAGAATTCTACAATTTCTACAATTTCTACAATTTCTTTAATTTCTTATATTTTATTATTTCTTTTATTTATTTTAGTATTATTAGTGGACCTATTATATGTATTAGTTATATTAGCTTATTCATCAATTATTTCATAGAAACAATCTAGTATAATTGATATATATAATATTAGAATGAACGACATGTATAAATAATTGCACTTTTTCCCTCTGAAGGTGATAGTTAACAACTCATCTTTATTAAATAAAATAACAACTTGTGTCTTCATACACAAGTAATAACCCATTTTGTGTCTTCATACACAAGATAATAACCAAAGCTAATCATTAAGTGATTTAATGATCTCAAACATGTGACTATCATAAAGGGAGTTTATGATAGATATATTTAGACTTATTGTATACCCTAATATGACTACTTATATCTTCATATATATTTAGCTGTTTACCTCTTTCATAAGTGCAAATCACTTGAATCCTCTTAAAGCATAATTTCACTCAAACCTAAATTTACTTAAGCATAAACGTTATTAGTAGTTAGTTAATAGTATATATGTTGCTAAAGTAGATTTGTTATACTAAGCTCATAAGAGGTAGCTTTCAGACATAACACTACCTTATGGCTTAGTGAAGAGTGAAATGATGTGCGTCCGCAAAATCTGGCAATTTGTTGGTCAGCATGATTATGATCATCATATCATTATAAGTTTTTATATACATATATACACTTAATCACTAGAATTTTATAATTACATAATGTTGATCATTTTTTTTACAAGTTTTTACAACTGCAATTTCTGACAACCCACTTAATAATTTGGGTCAAATTTTTTTTATTTAATAATAAAATAAAAAATTTTTATTTACAAATATTAATACCTCATAGAGTATCTGTTAGCATTAATCACAGCACAAATATGACAAGGCATACTTTCTACAAGAATTTTAAAAATCGAACTATCAAGATTAAACCATTCCTTCTGCAACAAAGTGAATAGTTCTGACTTATTGCCTAGTAGTGGAATATTCTTACGAAATCTACGCTCCAATTCGTCCCAAATATGTTGATAGGATTGAGGTCAGGGCTGTATGATGGTTAAAAAAGTCAAATCAAGCCATGGTGAAAGTTGAAATATGAATTTTCGTATTGTCATCTTGGAATAGATAGTTTTTTTCTCCAACAATGTTTTTTAAATCTTTTAAAAAAGGTAATAAATAATCATAAAGAACCTCGGTATAGTCTTTCAAATTCATCCTACCAAAAACCTGAACCAAAAGTCCAGGACTGTAGTAACTAAAGCACCTCCAAACTATTACACCCTTTCTTCCTGACTTAAACGTAGGAACCAAACATTCAATATCGTATTTTTCCTTTGGTTTTATCCAAACATACATACAACCATTACCTCCAAACACTTCAAACCGTAATTCATTGCTCTAAACAAAGTTTCTTCACCTTTTATTCCAACGTTCTCAATTTTCAGCCTATCCCAAATAATACAAGCAAAAGGTTTCATCCACAAATAGTTTTCTCTTTTCAACTTGGCCATAAAACCTTCATAAAGATGACATTGTATGGTATGTGTAGACACCTCAATAGACCTTAATTCAACAAATTTATTTGTCAAAATGTTTAAACTAGTCTTTTTATCTTCTTTTAAAAGGCATATAAGGTGGCATATACTATGTTTAGTTATTTTAGGGCCACCTCAGGACAAGAAATTGTGTTTATTTTCCCTATTTTTTTGTAATAGAAAACAATATTATAGACAGTGCTTTTTGGTAAGTTTAAGGTTTGTACGATTTTTGCTGACTACACACGACTCCACCAGGCATCAATAATTTGGGTATATTGTTTTTTGTCAAGTTGTTTCCTTTCTTTTAGTATAAAAAAAAGAATTTCTAAAAAAAAAAAACGTCGAATAGACCAAGATCTGGCATAACTGTAAAAAAAAATTTATATATTTATAGTAAGAGATTTGTACAAAAAAATTATTATATGACGTGAGTCATAACCATCGATCATATAAAATTTTGAAAATTCCAGTGATTAATGTCAGGGGAGTGTACTTACATTCATACAATCATCTAAACTGTATTAATCATGTGTTAAACAATGTTGAAAATAGGTATACCAACAGAGGACACATGAAGATCAAGAAACTCAATGATTATCACATTATATAAAAATTATGCAATAATATTATTTGTTTACCTGCACTAACAAAATTGGACTAAACTATACTATCACCTGACCTTAGAATCAAGTATCACTAGTCTAAAAAATAGAAAAGTCTACAGACATCTACCTGTCATGTAATTTTTTGCATCTACCGACCACGTGATAGATTTCAGTGCTAATTTATGTGATAGGTAGGTATGTATAATGTACAATCACCTATCATAATTACACAAAAGTATAAACTTATATAAAATATTTAAGGATTTTTTTGATTTTTTTTGATCTCTTATCTGTTTGCACTTGCGCTTATTTACAAGGAATATATTTGCTTCTACATTTTAATATAATATTACTTAATTGTAAGATCCTATTTAAATTAAAAAGTTAATATAAGGTTGTTACCTTGGTAATTATTTGTGCTCTGATATTTACTTATTTTCGACTACTTAATTCACCTGTACAGTATATAGTTATATTCAATTGTTACTTGTATTGATAGTTAAACTTGGGAGAATCTTAAAAGTTATAATTAACAGATATATACTATTGCTAGTTATTTCTTAACTAATATGGATAAATATTCAAAGGTGAAAGCTACGTAATTATCATTGATGCCTAAATTGTTAAAAGGTAAAAGCTCTATTACTAATATAAATGAAATATATATTATTCACAAATTGTAACTAGTTTGTAAATTGTGCTTGAATATAATTTATCAATATTCTTTAAAAAGAATCTGTTCTGCATGTCTAACCTTGAGTTGTATTATATATTTTCTAAAACTTGAAGATTATAATTAACCTTTATTCTTGAATTACAATATACTTTTAATTATTTTATTTAATTTTGATTTTATCAAAGTTTTGTTAAAGTTTACTGCTATTTTGATAATAATCAATACTGCTTTTTTTATCTAATACATTTTGCCAACATATTGGATTTTTGTGTAACTGTGATATCATACGTACCTATCTGTCACGTAGATTGCTACCTATCTATTACTGCCAGAACCCATCACATGATCAGTAGGTGCAAAAAATCACATGACATGTAGGTGTCCATAACTACCCCAAGAACACCTCCAAAAATTTTGCAGTCACATGATATTATATAATTGTGTGTCACAGATTAAAACGAAATCTGATCAAA